GTACCTGTAACAGTAGTAGCTGCTGTAGTACGGGTAGTGGTAGAATTTGTACTGGAGAAGGAGACCTTGGATTTACGGTGTTTAGAAGAAGTGATYGCATCAGAAGACCGTTTACCTCTCTTGGGAGTGACTTGAATCCAAGCTTGAGCTTCTGCKGTGGTTGCATKGAGTAATTCAGTGTAAGATTCTGCAGTGGGAACCTTGGTCGTCGCATGGAGCTCATCTGAGTACCTGTGCAACCATCCAGCTGTAGAATCAGTACCAGAAACATGGACAGAAGAGGGGGTTGAAGTAGAAACAGCATGGGAATCGTTATTTAATTGGGTCTGTGGGGTTAAAGACGGAGTATTTAGGGACGAATCCTCAGTATTTAACCCTTGGGCCTGCTTAGAAACAGAAAAACAGCCTTTTGGGCCAGGGATATGCCCCTGCGGGGGGGGCTGCGGGCTCGAAGCCGACGCTCGTTTGGCATATGATCCAGGGGCAATCATAGCAGGGTCCTCCTGATCATTAAGTAATGAACAGGGATGTTCCGCTTCCATAGGGTTCTCAACAGGGGGCTCAGTCGAAGGTGGGTTCTCTGAATCGGGCGCTTGTACAGTACACTTATTTGTCGGTGGGTTCTCTGAATTGGGCGCTTGGAAAGTACACTTAGGAGGAAATTTCGCTGGGTCTGTGAGGGACAATTCCATAGGGTTCTCGCCTGGGATTTCAACAGGGGGCTCATTCGAAGGTGGGTTCTCTGTCTCGGGCGCTTGTACAGTACACTTATTCGAAGGTGGGTTCTCTGAATCAGGCGCTTGTGGAGTACACTTAATGGGAAATTTCGCTGGGCTGCTGGGGGACAGTTCCACTGGATTCTCTGCAGGGGGCATGGCTTCATCTGGGATACTTTGCTTAAGGGGATCATTCGCTGGTGGGTTCTCTGAATCGGGCGCTTGTAAGGTACACAGTTCTACTGGGTTCTTTGGATCGGGCGCTTGTAAAGTACACTTAAAGGGCTGGTTCTTTGGGCCCAATGATACTTCAGAAGTATCAATAGGGACTGTAGCTTCACTTAATGCGGTCAACTCGGATTTATCACGGACTAAAGGATCACTTATAGCGCCTACGTTTGGTGCTGGATCACCTGAATCATTTAAGGAGTCTGGTGCTGGATCAAGWAACATAGGTGCGGGAGCATTTGACACCATCGTCTTCGATGAGTCGGATTCCTCCTCCTCCTCCGTGAGCTTTGTTTTCTTGTGCTTCTGGTGAAGGGTGCTTTCCAAGCTGCTTTCCGAGCCGCTGGAATCTGAGAGGCGTGGCCATCCAGCTGCCCATGAAGGCCAGCTGGTCCGAAGACCAGGAACTTGTCGGGGATCTGCGAAAGCCCATGGGGGAGGGGTTCCAGCAACTGAAGAATCCTCTGAAGACGCATCCGGAGACTCACTCATCGATTCATCCGGAGACATCGATTCATCCAGAGACTCTTCATCCGGAGACTCCTCATCCGGATACTCCTCATCCGGATACTCCGTATCCGGATACTCATCCGGAGACAATTCCTCCAGAGATGATGGTTCCGGAGACATAGATTGATCCTCTGCAGGAGACAACGGTGGCGTCGTGTGTTTATTTTTGTTTGCTTTTTCGGTAGTTTCGTAGTTTAGTGTACATGAATATGAATGTGCATGGGTGGAGGGACATGCAAASGTAACRGATGTAGGCTGCTTGTKCTTGGGGCCCTGAGCCCATTGGCGGCCTTTAGCAGCCCTAGCGTAGGCTCTGCAAACTGCTGTTTGAAGGACTTTCTTGGGGTGTCTGTTCCTCGGACGGATAACATCAACCACTTCAACTGATGAGTCCTCATCGGAGCCACTGTCAAGGAGGTCCCAATGAGACTTAGGGGGCTTATCCTGTTCCTTCAGGGGGTCCTTTGTAGCTGGTGTAACCGCGGTTGGGGCTTTGGCCTTAGGGTCGTAAAGTGGAAGCGCCGGGGCTAGTTCCAGATCTCTGACCTTGGAGCCGTGCTTCGTGATTGGCTTGGTGGATCCTTGTGGGGATAGATCAGTGGCTTGGGTTGGATCCTGCTGGTCCTTTGTAGTACCAGGACGCCGGGGATCGGGATCGGTGGGGACTTCGGGATCGGTGGGGACAGCAGGATCGGGGGGGACCACTTCCATCGCAATGATCTTGGATCCGTCGAAAATAGGAATACTGGGCTTGAAAGGAGCTGGAGGCCMCTGGAAAGGAGCTGGGAGCTCCTTGAAGGGCGGGGATGGGGGATCCTTAGTTGGATCCGGGGGGTCCTTGTTACCCTTTGGGTTGGGCCCGGTCATGGTCGGTTGTTATTCCTGGGAGTTCGAAGGTGCCAGTCTGAGTTGTGTTGTGTAGGATGTAGTACTAATTCTAGGTATAATTTTCAATAGAGAATTGTATCTTCGTGCGAAGATGAAAAACTGCGTTTGCGAAAATTCGATTTGAAAATTATACAAGGACAAGGACAAGGACAAGGACAAGGACAAGGACAAGGACAAGGACAAGGACAAGGACAAGGACAAGGACAAGGACAAGGACAAGGACCAAATCAACAATGGTKACATCCAAATGCACCGAAAGAGGCTTTCTTTGCATTGCCTCCACCACCATCCACTCAATCACCAGCGGACAGCCTTGAGCTTTATGGTCTTGATAATGAAGAAGCTCTTAAGAACCCAACGGCAGTCACCTTGAGAGCTCTGAAAACACCACCGGATGTGCAGGATGTACTGCGAGCAGTCATCCTAGTATGCAAAGCCATCCAAGGCTTACCGACAATGAACACCTTTAAAGTCCTATTAGATAGTGGGAGTACAATGTGCCTTATTCACGAGCGCTGCCTTCCATCAGGAACAGTGCCCTTTCAGGACCGACTCAGCTCAGTTACAACCACAGCTCAGGGAAGCTTTGACACATCCAAGTATGTTTTCATATCCAACATTCGGCTCCCAGAGTTTGGCAATGGAAAGTACACGAGAGGAATCAATGCAAGGCTCTTCTCCGCCCCTTGCAACTATGACATGATTCTAGGAAGGGACTTCTTATTGATGACTGGGATAGACCTCTTCTATTCCACACGCACTATCAGATGGTTAGGCTCAACCATCGATATGAAACCTGTGGATCATTTCAATGATCCCCAGCATGTTGCGGAAGCCATGTGGATTGCAGAGGATAATGAGCTCTTAGATGGAGGATTCATAGAGTTTCATCTACTCCCCCCAAGCAGCTGCCAACCACAAAATTGCAGACGTACAATTGGTTTGGACAGTTATTTAGCAGCAGATGCTGCCAGAGCCAAAGAGGCAACAAAAATCCTGGACGCGCAGTACCAGAAGGTGACTCCAAAGCAGGTTGCAGACCAGCAAGAGCACATGAATATATCAGAAAGACTMGCATTCAAAGAGATGTTAGCCAAACACACACGTTTGTTTGACGGCAAACTAGGTCGATATCCTCATGAAAAGATCCACATTGATCTGCTGGATGATGCAGAACCAGTTTATATAAGACCATACCCAGTTCCCTACAGACACAAGGATGTCTTCAAAAGGGAATGCTAGCATCGTGTTGATGAAGGGGTGATAGCCCCCACTGGCAATTCAGAATGGGGCTTTCCGGCCTTTATCATTCCAAAGAAGGATGGACGAGTCAGATGGCTTGTTGATCTCAGAGAGTTAAACAAAAGGATAAAGAGACCTAAGTTTAATCTCCCCAAAATCCAGGACATCTTGAACAGGAGAACACGCTATGATCATTTTACCAAAATTGATCTTTCCATGATGTTTTACTGCTTTGAATGGGATGAAGAGAGCCAGAAGATTTGCACTCTCACCACACCACACGGCAATTACAGATGCCTAAGATTGCCCATGGGACTAAAATCGTCTCCAGATTATGCCCAAGCATTCATAACCAAGATCTTGGTCAATCTTGATGTTGAAGTCTATATCGTTGACATGGGGATTTGGTCCAGAGGACCATTCACCAAACATCTGTCTTTGGTCGACCCAGTCCTTCGTCTAGCCTCCAATGGGATGAAATGCAACCCTTTGAAGTGTGAATGGGCAGTGAAAGAGTCAGATTGCCTTGGATATTGGCTCACCCCTAGCAGTGAACTAATACAAATCCATGTGGCCTCGCCGATCACATGTATTGGCCCCGCTAACAGCCCTCACGGGCTCAGGACCTTACGTACGGACCCCTGCTTGCAATCAAGCCTTTGAGGAAATGAAAGCTCTTCTTGCACATGATGCAATCAACACCTTTGCCAATTTGAAAGACCCCTTTCATATCTACACTGACGCATCTGATTATCAGCTTGGTGCAGCAATACTCCAGAATGACAAACCAATTGCATATTGGTCTAAGAAACTAAACAAAACCCAAATGAACTACACCACGATGGAGAAAGAGCTGTTGGCAATCATCCTTTGTCTCAAAGAGTACAGAAATATGTTATACGGTGGCCGCATCATCATATATACTGACCATAAGAATCTCATCTTCCGAACCCTGTCCCAGTCTCGAGTTCTCAGATGGAAATTAAGCATTGAGGGCTTTGACATCACATGGCAGTATATCCCGGGCAAGAAGAATGTTCTTGCAGATTGTTTTTCTTGAGTGCCCAGAATGGATCCGTGCACTGTGGGGGATAAAGAGAAGAAAATATATGAGAAAAAGAAAGGAACAGTGGTGAATTTTAAAGAGTTAACAGCCCAGGTGGATCCAGAGGATGTATTTTATCTGGAGCCAGAACTATACAAGTGCTTGCTCAATCTACCACCAGTATCAGAAATGGAAAACCCCATAACGAATGCAAGCCTTTACACTTATCAGCTCAAGGACCCCCAGTGTCAACACCTGCTTGAAACTGATCAACGATATGTTAAGAGAAGGATAGGCACCTTTGAGTTACTCACAGTGTCCACAAATGATAATAACTGGAAGATCTACTTGCCTGACGGCCTCGTAGACAAGACCCTCAGATGGTATCATCTACTATTAGGGCATTGTGGCAGCACCCGGCTCTATGAAACTATCAGTGCTAGGTTTTATGCTCCCCTACTCAGCCTAAGATGCAAACAATATCAGTGTCCGGATGAGTGCCACMGATTCAAACAGCAAGGACAGGGACATGGCTTATTACCAGCTCGTGAGGCGCAGCTTGTTCCATGGAATGAAGTATGTGTGGATTTGATTGGTCCTTGGAAAATCCTTCTCCCGGATGAAACTGAATTAGTGATCAATGCCCTCACTTGCATTGATCCAGTCACCAACTTATTGGAAATCATCAGGATCAATAACAAATCAAGTGAACATGTTGCAGAGCAATTCGCAAACTGTTGGCTGTCAAGATATCCATGACCCAACAGGTGTGTCCATGACAATGGCAAAGAATTCATTGGAAGCCCATTCAAACAGCTCTTGAATCAATACGGAATTAAGAGTGTCCAAACCACCGTGAAAAATCCATAAGCAAATGCAGTTTGTGAAAGAGTTCATCAGACAATTGCCAATGTATTGAGAGCTACTCTTCATTCAAGTCTGCCTGAGGGAGATGAGTTTGATGAAGATCAGATTATTGACAATGCCCTTGCTTCAGCCATGCATGCTACCAGGTGTGCAGTGAATGCAGCTGTAAAGACTTCACCAGGCGCTTTAGTCTACAACAGAGACATGGTAATGGATATCCCACTCATWGCTGATTTGAACCTTATCAGAGATAAAAGACAACACCAAATCGATGAGAACCTTGGGAGAGAAAATGCCCGGAGAATACCCTTCAAATATCAGGTCAGACAACAAGCTTACATGAAATACTATGAACCAGACAAATTGTCCCAAAGATTACACGGTCCTTCACTAATGGGACGGTGGTGTTGCAAAGAAGTGACAACGTATGTGAGACTGTCAATATCAGAAAGCTTGTTCCTCACAAAAGAACTAATGCAAATGCCACTCCTGAAAACCCAGCAGCAGAGGAGGAACCCCCTGTTGAAAATATTGAAGATATGATTGCTACGGTTTAGTAGTGAGTAATATTGCAATATATTGGAGCAATATTACTGTCCAGGATAATGCAACAGATACGTACACACTGTATCGGAAGTATACGTACGTACTATAAAGGAAGCACACGTACATACAGTGCTCCCTTGGAATGGATGGACATACCATTCCTACCTACATATCATAATGTACTATTAATACATATAGATCATACAATCCATCATATTGAGGATCGTGAGAGGTCTAAGATACTATTCGAGAATACCTCACGAAGAACTGAGATGTCACGAGTCCGGAATGGAAGAACCTCCATGTAGATTCCCTACCAGGTCTACATGAGGATCTAATTGGAACTTCAGAATTCTTGTGAACGCGCTGGGTACTCTACGAATAAATCTAATCTTATTTTTCAATTTTCATACACACTTAAAACATACTGAGAGTACACGTAATCTCGTGCAAGATTCTTAGATAAAGAGGAAGTGTGGTGTGTAAAAGGGACTGCTGCTGGAAGCTTCCCCTGCATACACAGTGTATTAGCGATAGGCGCCAAAACTGTGAATGCTGTGTTAAGTGGTCATTAAGAGTTGTCTTTAGGGTCATTTGGTACTGGTTTGAATGGCCCGCGACCAACAGTATGTACGTATGTATGCTAAAACATACAGTACCCCGTATCAAACAGTCTGAATCGTATGAGTCGTAAGATCCAATACGTATGAATCGTACCGTATGATTCAATCGTATCGTACGAGTGATTATTACACAAATTCCGGAGCTTTTTTCGGCAATTGGGCACGAATGGATCCTTCGGTTGACTGACCTGCTTACGGGATTGCACGGGAGCGCGGGCAATTAATTCTTGTACGAGTAAAAAATAAGTATCAATGACACTAGATTTCTTTTCATGGGATTCCCAATTCCCAACACTTAAGAGAATGTCAACTTCAATTTTGAGCAGTACAGTACGAGAGTACGGGTAACATTGCAATATTTGTTTTCTGATGCATACATACCGCCCCATTTTTCTCATACACCGATTTTGGCGACAGCAATCTATCATTCCCTCACCGAAATTCAACTCCGGTCCATGTAGGAACGATCCTGTTTCCATGATTCGTGTTGCTATCGACGAACACGGAGCAATGGAATCGTAGGTACTCAATGACAGGCACAAGGTTCATCGATTGTAGAACTATCGTTTACCACTCCAAAAGCACAATTCTCTTTTCGATCGGATAGAAAAATACTCATCTCAAAATACTGTAGGAACAACAACTTCTAGAGACAACTCAATCTAACATACACCAAAACCGATCCAATCCAATCCATCGACCTCCTTCATTGTTGAAAAAAAATGGTTTCCTTCCTTCGTTCCACGGCCTCTAAATTCACTGTATTGGCCGTGGTGTTTCTCGGCTCTGGTGCCGCCCCGATCCATGCAATGGAACCCGAACTCGAGGATACAGAAATAGGCAATGATGCGCCTCTAGATACCATCTGCAAAGACAAGCCAAATTGGCGCTACAACGATAAAGAGAGAAAAACCTGCGAGTGGATCGGGAAAAATCCAGACAAAAGAGCAAGGCTGTGCGAGAAGAAAAGGGTCAAAACAAACTGCCCCGAAACTTGTGGGGTGGACTGCAACGACTTGATCAATCGCAACGGACCAACGGACCCTATGCCACCGTTGGAACAAACTCCGCCACGAGACCCCTGCAAAAACGACCCCAGTTGGCGCTGGAACGACAAAGAGAGAAAAAGCTGCGACTGGATTTCAAGGAAGCCACAGAACAAAGAGAGGCTCTGTGTGAAGAGAAGGGTCCGAGAGGCCTGCCCCGAAACATGCGGGGTGGTCTGTGAAGACGTCAGTCGCAACGTACCAACAGACCCAATCCCACCACCATCGAGTCCAATTACGAAATGCCCTAAATTCTTGGGTGCCAAAGTAGATTCGGCTGTCCCAGCTTTCGACAGAATACCGAGTGCAGAGAGCTATTTCGAAGAACCAACTATGGACTGCTCCGAGTACCTGGATGGCCTCACATGCTACACTGACTACCGCTACAATGGATGCAGCGATGATACAATGCAGTGTACTCCTTCGAAAGCCAGTGTTTGTAGCAACAACGTCTGGCAAACCAGTGTTGCAGTCAATCCAGCGTTATGTGGGTCTGATTTTGGTGAGATGCCCTATCTCTCGGTGTTTGGAGAATACTGTGATCCAAAGGAATGCCCCGTATCGCAACCCAAGAACGGTTCGGATTGCAGTAGCTACGAAGGCGAGTTTAGTTGCATGTATAACTACAAAACCTTTGGGTGTGACGGCTTCGACGATAGTCACGGGTGCTTCCCCACAACCTCATTGAAATGTACTGATGACAACAAATGGCAAATGTCTATTTTCTCGATTGCGAAATGCCCCGACGGGTCGCCACAGGGCCAGGTAGCCTGCGACCCCGAAGAATGTCCCTTGAAAGAGCCCATGCATGGTACAGATTGCTCAAGCTACGAGGGCAAGGACGAGTGTCACTACGACTATAAAACTATAGGATGCGATGCCGACAGTCTGACATGCGCTCCCACAAAATACTACACCTGTATGGAAGAGCCCGATGGCAAGTCGGACCGATGGCAGCTTCAATACACGATGCGTCCGGCATGTTATTATGAGGGCGCTGATAAATCGTGCGATCCGAGCGGTTGTCCTCTTTCTGCTCCCATTCCTGGGACGGATTGCTCGAGCTACAATGGGGGCAAACAGGACTGCATGTACAACTTCAAATTCGATGGATGTAGCTTTGACGACCTTCGGTGTTCGCCCACTAGTTACTTCTCCTGCAACTCTGATTTCAATACGTGGGAAGTAGCAGAGACCAAGCCCTTGGACTGCGAGGTTATCATTCAGGACTTCGAGGGCATATCAGAGGATTTGCCGGTCGGAGAGACCTGTAAGTTGTGCCCTACCGTTGAACCAGCCGATCTGTGCCCCGCCAAGCAACCGAGAGCTGGAACTAGCTGTACCTCAGACAAATACGATTACGAAGTGGGTCTTGTTTGCTCTTACGACTTCAAGTACGAGGGATGCTCCACAAACAAACTCAAGTGCAAACCTCATGAATTTTTCGAGTGTACCGAACAAGATGGATGGGTAGTGAAAATGACGGAACCTGAACCTTGCAATTAAGAAGAGAGAGCTGGTATAAATCGTCAACAAATGCGTTCTTGACAGCCTGTGGAAAACAACGTGGTAGATTATCATGACTTCAAGAGCCTGATAGATTCGGTTGACTGTGTCGAGTGAAAAATCTTCCAAATGTAGTATTTTTAATTACTGCCATAACAGTAAACAATGAGTGTGAATTGATTAGAAACTTTACTAGAAACGTTTGAACTTTTCAAAGCTAGTGCCACTCGTAATGCTAGCAGTAGTAGTAGTAGTAGTAGTAGTAGTAGTAGTAGTAGTAGTAGTACTACTACTACTACTACTACTACTACTACTACTACTACTACTACTACTACTACTACTACTACTACTACTACTACTACTACTACTACTACTACCAATGCATCACACAAATCAGATCTGTGGTATTGCGCATTTCATGCGGTTGACACCATCTAAGTTTCAATATCCATTGCATCCACCCTCAGTTTTTCCTGATTGGATAATAATTTGGAAAAATCCTTCACAGCTTTGTATCTCCTGAGCATGTTTCCAGAATGAGCATAATTTTACTTCCAAAAGCATGAAGAAACTCATCCCCCTGGTTGGAACTTACTCTGTTGTTTAAACTCTGCTTTTTATCATGTTCCCCCTTAAGCTAAAGGTTTTCTGTACAACTACCAATGCAGTACCGTAGGACACAACCAGATCCTATCGACCATGAAGACACCAGCAGCGTTGGATGCTGATGTGGATCAACCCTAAAAGAAAATTGATTTTGCAACAGGCTTTTTCCATGTAGGGCAGGAGCTCTCCCCTGACACAAATGGCTTGTTTTGAGGTCAAATCCTATAGTCAATTGGTTCATTTGGTTGTGGAAAAAGAAAGATTACACAGGGAATGTAATTAGCAAATGAATTACCAATACTGAATACAAATATGAGAGTATAACGATACTGATAGATGCAGCATCAGTAGACGCAGTACACACAGCACTGACGCAGCATCAGTAGACCCGCAACGCACTTACTGCCAGAACACCACGTCTCCCCTCATAGTTGAATGACTAAAATTGTTGGTTTTGTTAAGCATTGTTTAATTACTGTTGACTTAGCAGTATTCAATGAATGAAGTACGGGGAGGGGAGCAAGCAAGCTTTATTAGCAGCAAGCTGTACAGCTTGCTGCTTTGCAGTTTTTGTGCACCCCTGGAGCCTGCTGCCGTGTTCTCTACTAGTAATACACACCAATGCAGAAATTTATATCAAGTTATACAGTAATGAATAAAAGTTCATTGTTATACTGCAATGAAGACAACTTTATGACACATCCTATGTGCATGCATGCCAATACAAACCGTTTTTGTGGGAATCCCCACATGCTCAATTAGTAATCCCACATTGGTATACACAAAAAGCGATATAGTAGGGTATGCACAAAAACCCATACAAGAAAAGAGAGAAGGAATAAGTACGATTAGTACTATCACCTCCTGCTGCAGTGCAATATGAAGACAATAGACTCATACTGCTACTGAACAGTTTGCTCATTAACTTCATTTCAATCCTTTGAGTTAGTGTTGAATTAGTATTTTTAAAAAAATCTTAAAATTGTATTTAACCTCGTGAACTAGAAGAGGCACTAGGATGGCCAGAACCATAGCTTTTGTTAGTAGAAAGAATGCTTCTAGCTGCTCCTCTGAGAGGAGGCGGTCAAGCGGGCCCAGGAGAGCTTGTCCCCAGGGGAGTGTGACGCTTGCAAACTGGAGTTTGCCGTGGAGGATTTCCAATGTTTTTGTGCGGGTGGTGGGGGCGGTTTGCATGGAGTGCAGAAGGGCCAGGATGGCGTCTCCTTTCTTGGTGGGTAGGTGGATGGTGCGGTTGATGTCGTCCAACCTCCACCCCAGTATCTCTTTGGAGGTTTCCCACCGCCCTTTGTCCAGGAGTTTTTATGTGAAATGGCTGGGCCCATGTTGCTGCCGGTGATGTTGGGTCCCGGAATGTGTTGTTGATGGCGTGGAGGAGGTGCTGAGTTACAGTCCGGAAGTGGGTGGGGTCATTGGACTGGACCATGGCAATGAAGTCATCGATGTAGACTTCAAGGGTGGTTGAGAATGTGGTGGTGGGTGGGTCCAGGGGTAAGTTTTGCCAAGGGAAATTCATTATAGTTGCCTCCATTGGGTGCGGCTTGTGTGGCAGGCCGCGCAGAAAAATGGGAGTGTTGTTGGGGGTGTTGGGTGGCTGGGGAGCGTGGACTGGGTGGCATGGTCGTTCGCGCGGGGTTGACTGGAGGGGTGCAGGTTGGTGAGGGCGGTAGGTTGTGTCAGATGGGGGTGACTGTGGATGACTTACCACCTGGTGTCTTGGCGGCGCTGGGTGCTGCTGCAAAGGTGGCTTTGAGCATGTGGGCGTGGTCCGCTGAAGTTGGTTTGACGTCATGGTTGCGTTGGCATCGCGGAGAGTCGCAGGAGCCGAAGAAATGGAAGCGGATGCAGTCGGTGGGGTCAATGCCAAGACGGGTGGCAAAGGCTGTGTCGTCGGCGCATTGCATGGCTGTGCATGCTAAGGCAATTGTGGGGAAACCTTGGTTTTGTTTTTTGTGTGTGGCGATGATTTTTCGGCACGCGGCGGGGAGGTCCTTTGTGTGTGGTGCATGTGGACAGTTGTTGGTGCGATCTTCTGTACGTCTATCGGAGCGTGAACGTTTTGTTTGTGAGTTGGGGTGGTGAGTTGGTTTGCTTTGTTTGGTTAGTGGTGGGCAGAACATTGCTGGTTTGTTGCTGGCTTTGTGGAAAATGCCGCTGGCGATGGAGTCTCTGAGTGCGGTGAGGTTCAGGGTGGTCGTGTTGTTGGTGTGCAGGTTGTGTTAGGTAGTTCTGTGGGAGAAGAAGGTCTTGGTTGTGACGGTTAGCTGCCAGAGGATTTCGGCCGCGATATCCCATTGGAAATTATAGATTTCGCTTAGGGAGGCGTTGTTGGCTTGTAGTACGTTGTGGATTTTTTCAAGCTCTCGCGCGAGTGGGCAGTGTTGGGTGAATAGGGTTTGAAGGACTTTGATTTGGTTGTCGACCACCTCAATTTCTTTGTAGATGTTACGGGGGACTATTAATGTGTTTAGTTTTGCGTGGAGGACATCAGTCGTGCTAATCGTTGTGGCTTCAGTGTTTAGGTGGCATTGGTGTTCCGCGGCTGAGATTTCTCTGGTTGTGCGTGTGACATATGCCATGGGGCCAAGGCCCGTGCGTCCTTGCATGTTGGGGTCAGGGTCGAAGCGGAACTTTGCTATTTTGGTTGTCCAGTCATGGAGTAGGCGGCCTTGGAGTTTTGGGAAGGTTAGTTTCAGTGGGTTGGTGAAGTAGTGTTCCACTTTTTCTTCGCGTTTTTTGTCTGCTTTTAGGATATGCACCCAGGCCTGGTTGGTGAGTGCGTGGAACGTTTCAGTTTGGGAGAGTGGGATGCCGGAACATCCTATGATGTGTAGGAGCTGGGTGTTGGTCGGGGTTTGTTGGGTTGGGGTGGCTGGTTTTGGCGCGTTGATGATAGATGTGTATAGGTTCATCTGGTCGAGTTCTGCTGGGGTTGGAGTGCCTGTGATGGTGGTGAGGAGGTGTTGGAGTCTTGTGTGTGCCATGGTGTGGTTATCCTCTGCCATGGTGTGGATGGTATGGTTTGGGGTTACTGTGGAAGGTCTTGCTGGGGGGGGGGGGGGGGGGAAAAGGTTTGGTGGTGCCCGGGGTTCTTGCTGGGAAGGGTCCGGGGAGGTAAGAAGGTTGACAGTGTTTCTGTTGTTTTGGGTTGTTCCTTGGTTTGGTGTGGGTTGGGCAGCGTGTTCGTTCGACTTGTCATTGTCGTGTTGGGTGGTTGGGTCTGGGTTTTCTGGAGTGAGGATGTTATGTGCTATGAGCAGGTCAGTGATTGTTGATGCTTTGTTTTGCCAGAGGTCGGATTTGTGCCGAGAGCGGTGCGGATAAGGGTAGGGTTGTGTTGGTACTGAGGAGGAGGTTGCTGGTTGTGGGGTCCTCGTTTTGTCGTGTGCAAGCTGCTAGGAGCCACTTGGCTGTTGGAGAAGTTCTGGTGATTGCTTTTTCTTGGATGAGTTGGGTGCGGAGCTTGTTGGGGTGGGTTGGGAGCTGGTTGGCGCAATAGAGCTCAAGCAGGGAGGGGGGGATTTCTTGGAGGAGCCATTTGCTTTTTGCTTTTGCCGTTGCGTGGGGTTTGAGAAACAGGATCGGGTCCTTGGTGAGGGCTTGTTGGGTTCTGTTAGGGCCAGTTGCCTGGGGGCATTTGTGATCCGCTTGGTCCAGTGCTTGTTGGCGTTGGATCGTGAGGATTTTATGGTTGCTTTGGTGCAGGTTGATTATGTAAAGCTTGTTTTGGCTATGGCCGAGGGCGAAGACTGGGGAGACTCTGTGGTTGTCAAGGATGGCCTGGTAGAGGTGTCCTGGGGTCCATGGGTCCTGGGTGTCAGGTGGTGGGTGGGGTTTTTCTTTGAGGATGGCGACGATAGCATCGCGGATTGCGGGGGCGAGGGCAAGGGATGGCATGTTGGTGGATGAAGCTGTAGTATTTTGGTTGTACAAAATTAATTTTGTGAGCATTTCGTTGATTGTTGTCGTAGTTTAGTTTGTATTGTTTGGTGTGGTATTGGTGTGGTGCTGTGGTATTGGTATGGTGCTGTGGTATTGGTGTGGTGCTGAGGTGATGTGGTGTGGAGCGTAGTGGTTTGGGAGTCGTTTTTTATGGTTTCTTCGTTGCCTAAATTTGTTGTTTGTTGGTCGTTTGTTGGTGGGTGTTGCTTAATTTAGTTAGGCGTTAGTCCTGTTGTTGTCTGTTTTTGGTGTTGTTTTCTGGCGTTCTTTGGTTTCCTTTTGATTGGGTGGGATGTCATGGTGGGGTGTCAAGTTGATGGGTGTGATGGTGATGGGTGTATGTGGTTGCGGGGGGTTGGGTCCGTCCGTGGGTTGGTTTGGCAAATTTTGCATTCTATTTGGCGATTTTTGGGGTTGTCGGTGGCGCCTTTCGGTTTTTCTTTGTTGTTTGGTGGGGGCCTGAAGAAAAAAGGTGTTGTTTGGTTATTGGTTGCAT